GGATGATACATCATACATATTTATACGAATCAAGTGGAATGGCACTTGAAGTGACTTGCGAGTGTGGGCCATCGCGCAAAGCGCGTGGCAGGTACGAGTCCTGTACTCAAAAGAGATTATAAAAAAGATAAAGTAATTTGAGCTTACATTGGAGAATGTGCTGGATAAGCTTCTCGGAAGTTTAACATCCTTCAGGCCAAAAAAGAAAACCATGTATTCCATGGATATTGACAAATACCACAAGTCATTTGAGTAAGATAACAATCAAATTATTGAATCAGAAGCCGCGTGTGAAGGAAACAGTTCTGATATACTATCTGTTCATTTTTAAGATGGCACATGTGAGGAGGGGACATTGCGAAGGTGGATAGATATTGGATGCTTGACAAGTGTTGAGAGAAGGCATGGATGCAGATGTTAGAATGGTGTCTGTTGGTACTGGATTGTGTCAGACAGTTGTCAAGAGAAAAAGGATGGAATATCTACTCACAGACAAGATGTGAGTGTAAATGTTGAGTCAAACCCAAAAGCCAAGAGGTTGCCAAAGGTACAGACAAAACGAGACTGTAACGCTGCAATTTTGAAGTACTGTTGGCCAGCACTATCAGACCTTCTCAGACACCATCCTAACATGCCCACTAAATGCGTGTAGAAAGAACGTAGCAAGCTATGTCAATGAGACTAGTGGAGCCAGATGATACAACAGCCTTTGTGAAAGGCCAGCCAACGAGTTGAGAATTTCAATTCTGACGGCAGATACATCCCATCGTGAAATCATCGAGAGCCTGGTTCAGCTACTCGGCAACCTCCAGAGGCATGAAAGCCCATCCATATTCCATCTGCTAATCCTCCTGCCCTTTCAACACCATCCCAGAGTGTCCTAAATCTCCAAATCAACCTGTGACCTATGCAGTCGTGAAGAATGTGATCCAAAAGATGAGACATGACTTGCTAAGCAGGTACTACGTTGTAAATGAACATGGCAGTTAAGGTCCTGACCAGTGATTGGAAGGAAAGGGCAGAGAAGAAACATAGAGGGAAAGGAAGGCAATGAAAGTCAAGAGATGGTTGAGCTTCAGGCGTGTCCATAAATGATGCCAAATCAACATAAACTGGTACAGTTTGGGAAGGTAGTAAGAGGATGTTCTCCTGTTTTTTCAAGCGCCAAGAAAGGCCAAGAAGGGCGTAGGGGTAAAATCCAGTTGTGACATACAATCTGGATGCTTCAATAATGCCGTGTGCTGGAAAAGCACTGCAGCCTGTCCATGGTTGATCTCCGGATTTGATTGGGTCCCGTGTTGGCTGAGGGTTGGAGCAATCCCACACTTGAAGCTTGAACAATGAATGACAGAAGAAGATGTTAAGAAATAAGTGCTCTGCGCGCGCACGCTGTAAACAGAGTTATTGATCTGAACATCTATCAGGAACACGCATATTCTTATTGTTGTGATCAGCCAGAAAGATGGTTGAGTAACCTAGTCACGTGAAACAAACGAGAAAAGAGAAGGGAGGACAATGAGCAACCAACGTCACATGGCCAACACTTTGACATCCTAAATATATTGAAACTAAATCTCCTTATTAGGTCAACCCAATTTGGACGAGATCAGGCTCAATTCGGACAAATTCTCACGCCGAAACCCGCCATAAGGATGAGCCTTCATTACATTCAGGACTCGTAACAGAGTCATGTGTGTAGGTATTCAGTATATTGTATGAAGCATCAAAGATGTGGAAGCCCTCTATGCCGATATTAGGCCTAAAATTGGCCTAAGGCATGTAACTGTACATTTTGACACTTTGTACGTGTTATACAATGCAATAAGAGAGTTATACGGAGTCCGAGCGTGATAGCTGTTGCCGAGGCAAAGAACTTAACAATAATACTCAGTGAGCTGTGAAGGTACACCCACAAGCGTAGCCTAGAGCCAAGCTAGCGAGGATACCTGGGCTGCCCGGAGATGTAACGCTAGATCGTCAATCTAGTTATACCCAAGAGTGTAGACTCTCTAAACTACAGGACATCTCGAAGCGGGATAAGTACTAAGCCAACGTGTTACTCGAGGGAAGGCATCCCTCGCACTAAGACCCCCAACGAGCTATGTTAAGATGTGGACTTTACAGTCCGTAACAATGGACCAGAACAATCCCGAGGAAACCGTAGAGATCTATTCACAGCACCGGTCGCAACCGTGAGGACGGTAGAAACATGCTTAGTGGTCCTACGGAAAGCTACGCACCGGGATAGCCTTGGCAAATTGAAACATTTGATCTTAGAAATCATACACGGAAGGTCTTATCCGTTAAAGCCGACTATCGGGAATCACTTGTACATACTCAGCGCAGTTGCTCGAGATTATCATAAGTGGTGTTGTTGGAAAGCTAGACAACAGGCCTTCTCGAGAGAATGTTAATCACACTCAGGATGGACAGAACTATCCGAGGAATAGAATGAGACTCACCCAAGGGAAACCAGGTGGCGAGGGATCATGAAGCGTAAAGGTACTCCTGACCCCGGAGAATTGTGGAGTAATTGGAGAAACCTCGCTTGGATCAAAACACTCTAAAACTATGTTAATCCTCACGAAATCATATTTTACCTCTGATATATACCCAAGAATGGACTATTTCTTTATCGTGTGTACCATATATAGGCTGGAGTTTCCTTTCCGAGCCAGATTCCTCTGTTCCACTCTCTTTCCGTCTCTCTCCGTATCTGTTTCATCTATTTTTCGTATTAACTCTCTCTACTCAGTATATAAGCCAGATATATTTATTCAATAAGACAAGTTTCTTGCCCTCGACTTGACTGCTAAGACCAGTGCTCCGTAGAACGTCCCCATGGGATCAGTAGCGTGACACCTCCTGACTTGGTTATCTTAAGAAAGTAATAAACTTCATGCGCTTCGCAAAGCCCATTTATATCTTGATCAAATTTAAGTGTGTAGAGTTCTCTCGAACTCCAGATCAACTCAAATCTAGTTGCTTCCTTAGAGGGGACGGCTTCTAGTAAGGGATTATTCGGCTCCAGAGTGAGGGTTCCTTAGTTGACTTCTTCACAAAGTTAGACGAGCCACTAAGATTGTGGTACAAGTTCCTAGTGGTTAAGTTCACTCACAATATTGTAGCTTGGCCCAGAGTTTGGTCAAGGACTTTACGGCGTCACAGCAGCTAGTGCCAGAGTTTTGCCTAGGGTTGTTGACAAACCTCGAGATTACTATTCTAGCTAGAGCCAGAGTTTGCCTAGGAGAATCTTAGTTTTGTTGTATTGGTTTTGGTTTTGGTTAATTGATTTGGACATACACACCTGGTTCCCTCGTACACTCATACACCCCAACTAGGCTTCTCTCGACTTAGTTCTAAGAGTTGTCTAAGCTTAGTTACCCACGTTAGCACTACAGTCTTGAACCTGGAGCAGTCGCGCACGTACATCCGATATTACAAGACTTTCCCTCGGGGAATCTCTGACAACCCGCCCTCGCTCCCTTACATATCGATAGTCTGATTAGGTGCGGTAGTGTTTTTGTTAGGTTGTTTTATAGCACCTTTCGCATACCTACACGTAAATACCCAAATACCGATATTAGCAGAACAGCTCCAAGAATGAACTGAAAGTATTGTTACCGTAAGTTCTTGTGCATAGTTGTGCTTACTATGAAAGACACTGTGGATGGCACATCCCGTCGATTAGTGGTTAGATCATCACAAAGTTGTGGTATGTTTGGATCATGGAACAAATTTGAGCAACCGTGAAAATGCAGGCTCGACTCCTGCCAGGGACAATTCGCCTAAAACGATTTCACGCATTTTTCTTTCTTCTTCTTTTGTGCCTATAATGGGCTATATGTTAGTTTCAGGCCTTTGTGGGAAAGACCATCCACAGTACTTCAGCTAGATGCGCATGACGAGAGGGGCATGGGGAAGCAACTTGAAATCTAACAGGAAAAATTGTGGTGCATCATGTCAATATGCATGCCATATGTAGGTTTAAGATGGGAATATGTGGGAATATGAGGCCAGGTGTACGCCCTGGTAAACAGACATGAATGCAAGCAGAATGGCACTTGAAGCAATGGGTAGGTTGTATATTGTATGAAGCTCCAAAGATGCGGAAGCCCTCTACGCTGATATTAGCAGAACAGCTCCAAGAATGAACCAAAAATATTGTTACTGGAAGTTCTTCTGCAGAGTTATGCTTACTGTGAAAGACAGAACCTGGACACAACTCATGAAAAATGTATTGAATTCAAGCAACCGTGAAGACGCAGGCTCAACTCCTGCCAGGGACATTACATCGAAACACTGTGGTTTTTTCTTTCAACCAGTGTTTCAATGTAATGTCCCTGGCAGGAGTCGAGCCTGCGTCTTCATAGTCGCTTAAATTCAATACATTTTTCATGAGTTGTTTCTTCCTCTTTTTCTTCTTCTTTTGTACTTGCCATTTGTTATACGGGACAGTTTCAGACAAGTTTGGGACCCTAGACTGTCTATAGTAGTGGTACTTCCGAAATGTGCACAAGAACTTTGCAAGAACTTGAAGGACTGAATGGAAAAAAGGTAATACATTGTGTACTAGATTCAGGATGGGAATATGCTGAGGGAATATGAGGCCGGGTCACGGGAGTACACTGTATCCCTGGTAAACAGACACAATGTAACGCCTATGGCACATTCATTGCCGTTAGCGCCGATATTACATAATTAGTCTACTCTTATCCTCATACCACCTACTCGTTTCGGTCTATATCTCTAATAGAACAAGATCTTGCTCATGGTCTGAGGCATTAAGAGTCAGGGCTCTTACACATGAATGGAGCGGAATCAAGAGCGGAATGGCACTTGAAGTGATGGAGTTGTGTGTGTAGGTTGTAGTATATCGTAGCAAGCTCCCAAAATGTGGAAGTCCTCTACGGCCAATATTGGCAGAACAGCTTCAAGAATAAATTGCAAATTACCGGGAGCTTACTGTATAGGACTCAGGATGCCACATAAATGAGAATGTCCCTGTTGATTAGTGGTTAGATCATCACGTTGTGGTCGGTTTAGATGGACTTAGCGACCGTGAAGACACAGGCTCGACTCCTGCCAGGGACAACCCGTTAGTGTTTCAATATGGTTTATTTTTCTTCCTTACTCTTGTACTTAATTGAGTTACGGGCGGTTTACCACAGCTGTAGTACTTCGGAAATATGCACAAGAATGGGCTTGGGGAATCAAGAAATCAAACAAAAAAAAGTAAGCATGTATAGTAGGTATGCCCTTGGGGTACCCATAAATGTAGATTTGAGTCAGGTGTAAAGCTAGAGGGGAAGGCCGCGGAAGAGTAGTATCAAAAGTATAGCTCTCCTGGCTGCTCTCGCTCGCTGTTTGAGTTCCTCCAATTGATTGTGGTAGGCTAGTAGCTAGGGGCACAGGTTTGATACATCTTATCTTATTAAGTGTTGTTTAATGCCACTGGCGAGCCGCGAACAACCGATGTATCAATTATTGATGCTCCATGATGGCTACCTGCAGAAAAAAAACCCTTAGTAGCTTAGGAAGGTTGTCATTCCACAAAAGTTTGACGAAAGTACAACATAGTCACTATGCCAGCGTCAAAAAATATCGGGCAAAATTATCGCCGAAAGTATTGTTGTAAATTACTTACCTTTTTCAATAAGAATTACGGTTGAAAAATCTTATGAAAAATACATTGTAATTGATTGTCTTTTTCTTTTGAAATTTCGCCAGTAATCTATTGTATATTTTGCTCAAAAAAGGCAATGAGATTACTTATCTATTTTGCTCGTGATTAATTAAAAATTTCGAGCGAAATTTTTACAAGGTAATAACTGGAAGTTCAGTCATGTGATCTGTATTGGACAACACTTCCTGTCTTTGAACGCGACTTACGGGATACTGTATATGTATGGCCGTGCCAGTCACCAGAACAAAACTCCAGACATAAAATAACTACACCTCCATCCAGTTCTGCCCTCATATCCACCTAAAGTATTGTCAGATGTAAATCACATGACTGAACTTCCAGTTATTACCTTGTAAAAATTTCGCTCGAAATTTTTAATTAATCACGAGCGAAATAGATAAGTAATCTCATTGCCTTTTTTGAGCAAAATATACAATAGATTACTGGCGAAATTTCAAAAGAAAAAGACAATCAATTACAATGTATTTTTCATAAGATTTTTCAACCGTAATTCTTATTGAAAAAGGTAAGTACCCTTTTCTACCTCAATTTACCTCTCTACCAGTAAATCGTTGTGAATCAAGGGACTTTGAGAATCAGGATTTGTTTGTGGAGCACTGCTTATCGAGGATCTTACGCCACATTGCCGAATATACGTTACCATATGCCCTTTTGGGCTACCCTGGCAACCTCTCCGTGAACATACACTCATAGTACAGACTTCATGTTCTAGATTACTAGTACTCTAGCAAAGCTAGAACAAGAAATTCCACCTGCTCTTGTGGCTTGATAAAAGACTCAACGTATGATTGCGGATATTTCCGTGCGTTTTCACCGAAACTGAAGGCAATTGCCGTAAGTGCATGTGACTTGTGCATGTGACTCTTTTTGGTGTCGATTCTTCTTGGTTCTTCCAAATCGTTCAGCTACATAACGATTGTGTTATCTCTTCTTTGACTCCCAACTGCCCTCATTCTATCATTCAAGCTCCAAGTTTTACTCTGCACCTGCGTATCCTCTTCCCAACCCAAAGGACAATCCCAAAGCTTGATACTTGAACCGGAAACGGCGTAATATTGAATTGACAACTACACATCGCAGAACTGCTATCATGAGGGCGCTCGCAGTGTCAGTTGTTTTGTTTTCATCTTTGTCTTTGTCTTTTCTGATGTTCTTGCAGTGCTCTTCCCGAACCTTTACATACCATCAAGGACAACTTTACCAAATTTGCTCAGCCAGCTCCTAGATCACAGCAAGCCACTACACAGCTTACTGTTCCTCCATACAGCCACAATGAATGGTCTGGGGACACGGGGAACTATGGTGCGCTACAAGTTCTGGAAAGATCACTCAATGTACTAATTTTTTACAGGCAATGGAAGTGCTTATTGTTGGAACTAAGAGACATGTTAGTACGATGTACAACTAAGCTCAGCCAGAAGTGATGAAGGCTTAATCATATTACCATACCTAAGAGACACGTTAGTACAATGTACAACTAAGCTATAGGTACAGTATGAGCATAATGGACATAGAGCATAAGTATAATAGACATACCTCAGCCAGAAGTGATGAAGGCTGAGGAAAAGAAGGGAACGTCGATACGTACAGTATAAGTAGAAATCCGTATCAGTGAAATAAAAGTTAAAACAAATGATAAGAACTCAGGTCTGATATCTACTCGGTATTGGAGCTGTACATACCGGCGGCCATATACCGCGGACCAAATATCCAACACTTATCTGGAATGTCATGTAGCTCAATATCCTCTTGATATGGGTTGGGGAAAGGTGGTGAGGGCTCTCTGAATGTGTTGCGAATGGCTCACAAACTGTAACAGGTTTCTTCTGTAGACACGCTCGCCCACCAAGGACAATGACATGCTGGAATATTATGGTCTTGATTCCTTACTCTCATGCACATCAACGGCAATCTTACTTGCCGCGCTAGCAAGAAGTTCAGCTGAATTGTCTCAATGCCCACAGCACCCTCTCACGCTGCCCTAAAATTGTCATTAGCTGCATACGGGTGTCGGGAGCAATAGCAACACTGGTAGTGGCTCAGAGTTGGAGGATAGTGTTGAAGTGAGAAGGTTTCCGCGACGATATGAGAAAGGAAAAGAAGAGGGAACGTGGATGAAGGAGCGGCATGCTTGCGTGGCAGAAGAATCATTTCTGAAAAGGTTGCTCTTGATTTGGCTCAACTTATGATTGTCTGTGCTCGTTTCTCGTCTATTTAAACACATTGTTCTGTAGACTTCGATACCAACAAATTGTACAACCTATCTGATTAGCCCTCGCTGGGATCTACAAAACTTGTGTAAACACTGAACAGGGTAACGAGGAGGACTTTATGTACTATGCCGCTACAATACTGTATTATCTGGCGCTAAATTATCTACAGTCAAGACCAAAAAGTCTTGACCGTAGATAATTTAGCGCTAGCACCTCGCCGCCTCACTTGTACTAAACTTTAAATACAGCTGTTGAAATGTATTGACAATTGACCTCTCCGTTAACCCTGCACAACAATTCCCCAAGCAATCGACATTTTAGCACATTGCTTAATGAGAGATTCAAGAACCTCCAGAGTCTCCTCGGCTGTTCCAAGTAGTAAAAGTAATCCAGCATTTCCTTGATAATTACTGTATCCCTATGTATTATGATATGAAGTACAATGATGATGTAAATTGAAAGCAAACTTCATGAAATTTACGTGCACTATAATTACTACAACACGCTGCCCCATTAGCTTGTAAATCTTGTAAATTGAGCTGTAAATTCTGTAAATTGATGGCTGGTAAGTGCTTACCATATTTAACAGTGAGGAATCAATCACCGATAAGCCTTAATTGAAGCACTGGAATGCACGAGCTGTGATCACATGCTCGCGTAATTTTGTTTACCGTCGTCTGGCACTATACCTTCATCTCAGACTTAAGCTGGTCACTCTTTGATAGGATTCTGGACTTTCGGGTGGCAAGAACACAAAAATAGGCTCTCATGCTATGTGTGCTCTACATTATGGAAATCTGTTGAACTCCGTTTGGAATAGTGATCGAGGTGAATGTTAGGAGTAATTTTTCCTCTCTTGCTGCCACCATGAGTGAAGATGATATTTGGAAGGTAAGCAAGTCCTGGTCCTGTGAGCTAGTATATGCCCTAACACTTGATCATTAGGTGTTGGAGCCGCCACAGAGATATATCTCACTGATGGAAATTTCAACTCGTATGCTGAAAGAAACACAGGAGCCAATGGTGATTAGTATCGATGCACGGTGACTCTACAATTATTCCATACCTCAGTTTTTAGAGCTTATATTATTAGATATTGGATGCTCAGGGCGCGAGAGCAAGCAGAGCACTATCTTGGATCAGAGAAAAATCAAGAATTAAGATACCTTCTTATCCTATGGATGTGTAAGCTTCGGGCTAAGCCTGTAACTGCAGTCTTTGTCTTCGATGGGCCGGAGGTTCCTTATCGTGCACATGGACCATTTGCGGTTCCATTTGCAGATGATCTCGTACAATTTTTTCAACAGCTTATCAGAAGTCAAGGATTCTATGTTCATGAGGTATCGTCTACTGTCTATCCTTCTGTCACTATACAGATCATTGCTTAGGCTACTGGAGATGCAAGTGTGGCACTTTGGCAGCTCAATAAACAAGTTAACGCTGTCATGACCGAGGATGTCAGAGTCTTGGTTTTTGGCGTGATATCTCTTTTCCATATGTACGTATATCCACTACTGGCTGGCTCCTTGAAAAATTCATTGTTTAATATCTTTCTAGTGCAAAATTCTTCGAAGATTTTGACACAGTTGCTTTTTTCTCTACCGAAGACCTCTCCCAACGCAACAAAAGGCCTGTGACACCTCACAGCATTTTTCTTTTGATGATCCTCATGGGAAGCGATTATGCTAGTGTGAGGATTGCTATTTTCTTTCTGGTTTCATCGACGTTCATGTTTTGTTCCAGGGTATTCAAGTACTTACTGCCGAATTGGCATATGCTCTCGCAAACACGGCATTGAAAACTCTCCTGATTTTTGCAGCGGAGGACTTTGCACCGCTTAGGCTTCAAGAATATCTTTGCACCTGGAAAGATGCTCTCGAAGATGAAATCAGGCATAATACACATGAATTTTTACCTTCCGCGCTGCCTGATCTTGCAGACATTATTCAGACGTTACAGGATTTTCCCAATCTCCATGCAGTAACACATCTGGCTCAGCCTACTCACACGCAGCCTATGCCCTTCCCAGTATGGCTTGTACAACCTCCCAATCTAGCAAATGTTGCCAATGTCTGCCAAGAAGTTTTTGACGGTGCTCCTGCGCAGTACATACCAGAGATGCTGCATCATATCTGGAGTGCGTTTATTGTGGGGTCTCTTCTCAATGTATGTAA